AATGATTCTACCAACCTACTTCAATGTCCTTCAACACCTAAAATCTACACTTCAGCTCAAAGATCTTGATGAAGTCAACAATTTCCTTGACAACCAAATTCACTACAATTTTCACATTTATTTCCTCACTCAAACAAACTATATTGCCTCTCTCTTACAACAAATGGGCATGGAATATTGCAAGTCTCTTCATAAACCTCTCCCCACCAAGCTTAAACCAAACACACTCTATGCAAGAATATCCTCAACTCGCTCACTATATTCAACTTGTTGCGCTCCAATTCCTCACTGTTACAAGGCCGCATCGCATTCTCCGTCAACTTCATATGCCAACAAATGCAAAAACACCTTATCTCCCCCATTTTCAACTCATCAAAAAGGTACTTCTCTATATTAAAGCAACCAGTCACTATGGCCTTCAACTCACCAAGGGAGATCCACAACTTCAATGCTACTTCGATGTTGATTGGGAGGGTAATATAAATGGCAGAAGATCCACTTTTATCTATTGTTTCTTCCCTGGCAACGATTTCATCGCTTGGACTGTTCATAAACAAAAAACAGTGGCTCGATCTTCTATCGAGGCGGAATATAGGGCTCATGTTGCAACTACCACCGACACTATATAGCTTCGTCAACTCCTTCATGACTTCAACATAAAGGTAGCAGCTCTGACACCCATCTATTGTGATAATACTTCAGCTATCACAATTATCCTCAACCAAATTTTTCATGCCCGCACAAAATACGTCGAGATCGATCATCATTTTGTTCGAGATTATCTTGTCTCCAACACAGTTCAAATGCATCACATTGCCTCACAAGATCAGATCGTCGACATACTTATGAAATGCTTGTATCAAACTCACTTCATCAAGCTTCGTCGCAAACTCACAATCATTGATCCAGATCATGAGCTTGAGGGGAGGTAACAAACATATCATAACCACCATATCAAGTGTTATTCTCCACTTTCCTATATCATTGCTTTGTAACCAACTTGGGACCACTTGGTCCCTTTAGAGTCTTCTTCCTACATCTATATATTCATGTACTATTGCTGTGAATGAATCAATGGGGAAAATACCTATATATGCCATACGAATCTCATCTTCTTCCTCAAATTTCTGTTTTTGCTAACAATTACAGGGGCGGCTCATCCCTGTAACTTATACCAACTGTCGCAGCTTATCAGTTCTATCATGTGTAAATTCACAAAAATTGTATTTCATTTACATAAAATGTCTTGGATAACTAGATCTTCAGATTGTGTATGAGCACGTTAGTGTTGATGATGTTTATTTCATATGTCGTGTATCATTAATCTTGTATGGGTCTTGAAAAGTAACTATAACAGCCACACACAAATAGGAGCTTATCCCTGTAAATTCACAAAAATAGGAGTTATTCCCTTCTATTTCTGGTTTTGCTAACAATTATAGGGGCTGCTCATCCCTGTAACTTATACCAACTGTTGTGGCTTATCAGTTCTATCATGTGTAAATTCACAAAAATGCATTTCATTTAGAAAAAATGTCTTTGATATCTAGATCTTTAGATTGTGTATATTGTATAAGCATCATGGTTTAGAAAATCAGACCAGACCGGCCAGTTCAACTGGTTTGACCGTGAACCAGACATAGGTCCGCTTCCGGTTGGCATAAAAACCCCTCTCGCATAGAACCGCCAAGAATCAGGTTGAATCGGCGGTTCAACCCCTGAACCGGCAAAATGACTCCAATTTTAAGGAATCGTTCAATTCACGGGCATTCACATATATACCACCCAATTTTATGTATTTTAAATATCTAACACCTAAACTCTAGTTTTCACATTTATACCACCCAAATCACTGATATCATCAAAAAAATCATTATTACAAAGAAATTCAATTTACATGTATACCACTCAATTTTATTTATTTATATATCTAACACCAAATCTCTTTATTTTACATTTATACCATCAAAAAACATCACTATTTTAATTTCTAAAAAGTGAAATTCATGCTTTCAAGCATAGATAAAATGTTATATGTTAAAATTAAATTTTAGAAATTAGTTATTTAAATACATATGAATTGAGTGGGATATAAATCTTATGTATTGTTATTTTTAAATACATTTAAGATTTATGTCATCCTATTGAAACTCTGGTTCAACCCCGGTTCAACATTTGAACCTTGAACATTGAACCTCTCCTTCTACCGGTTCAATGTCCGGTCCGGTTTTCCCAACCTTGCAAAACATGTCAGTGTTGATGATGTTTATTTCATATGCAGTATCATTAATCTTGTATGGGAAGTAACTATCATAGCCGCACTCGTTGGATACATTGAAGTGTGTATGTTGTATTATGCTGTCATTCTATCTTTCAACCTGATACAATGATAGATACCTAGTTTATACGAAAAACTAGGTTCCTAGTGGAAGCCTGGGCTTTGGTTGCAGAGCATTATAAAATTAATAAAACCAAGAAAAAGACCAAAGAGGAAAAGGTGCGATTAAAAGCATTTGAAAAAGATTGCATCAATCTCAAAAGATATGCAACATTAAAATATGTATTTCAGTTAAGGACTACAAAATCTAATTTAAAAGTAGTTGTTGTGGACTTTTGAGCACTTAATCTGCCACCCCTTTGAGTGAAATAAAATATATTTCACTTTTTTAATACTCAAAAATGATAAAATAATAACTCCTAATGTTTGAAAGGTATGCTGCAAATTGCACAAGAAACTCTAGCTTTTTCATCGGTCATCATTAGCCTTAATCCAATTAATAAGTAGTCGCTCTATGAACCTTCATTGTCCATTCATTTTGAGTGGGTGTTATGTGAGGTATTAATTCAATTTGTTGATATTTTAAAACCTCCATGTCACCTTAGACAAACACTTTTTTCCTACTAATTCTAAACTATTATAAATAACCTTACAACCCTATTGTACATGGCCCAAATCTATCTTCAAATACTTTGCCCTCAACAAATACAAATCCCCCAGTTTCCTAAGATATCACGATTCACTCTATTCTTCTAGGTTTTATAACAGTCATATTAGAACCAGACCTTAGCTATCATCATTTTTTTCTTAATTCCTAAAACTTAGATTCATAGAAGCATGAATGGTTTGATTTCAGTTTCATTAAATTTGCTTTAAGTTTAGTTAGGGAAAAAAAAAAAACGGGGACGGAACACTAAAAAAATTCAAAAGGAAGCAGTATGAAGCAAATAATTTTACCAAGATCCTATAGTGATTTCAACATGAATTGTGTTGGGCTGTATTCCTCCTCTATCTGCTTTATCTTATTTATGAATAACATGAAATAAACTGTCAGGGTGAAAAGAGTACATTAAGTCATTTTATATGGATAAATCGGAGACAAATTAAGAATGAATGCAAACTTCAGCATCCATATGTTAAATCTTAATTTATATATATATTTTATTTTAATTTAAATTTTAGTTTAAGTTATATAAATTTAACTTTCATTTTTATTTTGCTTTGTTTGATTTTTTGGTAATTTTTTTGTTATAATTAACATTATTCTTTTTCACTCTCCAAATTATCGTCGTCCCAAAGCAACCCCAAACGAAATCAGATGTGTGCACGGTAAGCTCATTTGAACGGTTTCAACGATCCGGATGCACTCACGATTCCGTTTCGTGAAACAACGCTCCGAAAGAAAAAAAAAATTTAACATGGAAGAAGATTTAATGTATGAAAGCTTAAAATTAAAAGGTTTGTCATAATACTATTGAACTCGTAGTATATTCTTTCAAGCATAATGAATACGATGCAATAAGCCCTATGGCGAGCAAGAGAGGCCACGATAATTTTGGTGCAATTTTCTTTTATTAAGTTGGGTTTCATTCAATTTTAATTTTAAACTTAAGTTAATGAAATTTGAATTTTGATTGAAGCCAAGCTAACTCAAGCCCTAAGCCAAGCTAAGGTTAACCCGGGTTAACCACGGGTCTAAAAGGTGTAGGCCACGAAACCGAGTCTCTTGGATCAATGGTTTATATAGAAGTCGTGTCAAAGAATTACGAGTATTCAACTTTTAATTTTAATAAACTAGCCATGATTGACCCAACACAAAGTATGGGCTATAAGGATTAAGGCTAAACATATTTCAAGTCAAAGAGAGTAAAGCTAAGTGGTGTCAAAAACATATGGATACTCAACCTTTAATTTCAATAACCCAGTCATGATTCGTTCAAAGCCAAAGTATGGCTACGGATTAAGGCAAAAAATATTTCAAATCAAAGGAAGTAAGGATTTGATTTGAGTTCTACTTTTGGGTCTCAACAATTCACTAGTCCTCTAGAGTAGCCTCTAAAATATTTATAAGGCTAGATCCTAGGCTCTAAAGAAGTGGGAGAGGAGAGAAGATAGACCTCACCAAAAGTGAGGTCAACATGAACACTAAAGAAAAAAAGGAAGCAGAATGAAGCAAACTATTTCACCGAGACCCTATAGTAATTCCAACATGAATTTTGTTGGGTTGTATTCCACCTCTATCTGCTTTATCTTATTTATGAGTAGCATTAATTGAACTATCATGGTGAACACAAAGTGCATTAATTCAATTTATATGGTAAAATGGAGACAAATTAAAAATGAATATATGTGTGTGTGTGTGTGTGTGTGTGTGAAAACACTAGTGCCATAATGTCCCAAAAAAAATGCAATAGATGCAGATGAAAGCTAAAAGTAATAAAGCTAAAAGTAATAATGCATAAGAAATTGTATCTTAATATAGAAAATATAATGGTCATTGAGGCAGAATGAAATAGGTCAAGAGGAATTACTTGATCTTAAAAGATTAGCATAACAATAAACATAACAAATAAAAGCACAACATACAAAATTCTGATCCTCATCCAATTCAGCGAACTTAATAGTCAATTTGCAGATAAAAACTCACAGAATAGAGCTAATTATTCAATAAGGCAGTAAAAAAAAATTACAGTTAAAAATCAATCAAAGAGCTACTTTTTACCTCCATCTTCAGGAATGTCGGAAGTCCACAACGTCAGGTTATCCCTCAAAAGTTGCATAATTAAAGTGCTATCTTTGTAAGATTCTTCACTCAAGGTGTCAAGCTCAGAAATAGCTTCATCAAAGGCTTGTTTAGCTAGATGGCAAGCCCTAAGCATATTGCAAATGTATGAGATTGACAATTAAAGATTGTCGAAGGTTGCACAGCTAATAACAATGCACCGCACCAACCTTTCAGGTGAGTTCATAATTTCATAATAGAAAACAGAGAAGTTTAATGCCAAACCCAATCTAATTGGATGAGTAGGAGACAAATCTGCCTCAGCTGTACTAGAAGCTGTCTGCATTAAGGTAGATCATAATTTAGAGACACCAACATAAAAATATAAGATGCAAATGAATGTTGCATATTCATCAAAGGAAGTGAAGGTGCATCTACTACATGAATACAAATTCGGTCGACAAAGATAAAAAAATGTATCGTCAAAGATGTATCAGAAACTAAAAAGTATAGATATTGCAGGAAAGAAACTCAGCATTAGAAATAAATTCTCTCCATGATGCTTGATTTTGCAGTTGGCTGCAGATTGTGTTAACTTAAAAGGAGACAGGAGACTCTGCTTTCTATCCTATGAACTATCATACATAACGTGGGGACTTAGAATTCTTTTTCTCGGTCTTTTAATACTCAAATGCACCTAAAAATACATTAGAAGATCATAAAATAAACAAAGTGCTATGAAATTGCAGAAATAGATGCAATTGTTGGCGAACATCAGATGGTCATTTTAAACTCAAATGGAGCTACATTTTTGTGTGATAACCGACTAGCATACCTTACAGAGAATGCTTTCATTCAGCAGTCCACATTGGAGAACAATATCAACGTAAGGAAAGAAAGAGTGAAAAATTCAAATGCATAACTGTTAATAGCTACGGTAATAGAGAAAGCTAGCAAATAGAAACCTGATAAGCTTTCAGCGACTGTTCAGCCACCTCCTTCCTATCGCTTCCAGCCTTGAACTCCGCCAGATACCGATAGTAATCACCCTTCCTATCAAAAACAAAAGAAGATACAAAATCAAGCTAGAAAACATGAGAAATCAACAGATCCACCAGAACGCAACCTACACATCTCAGTTCTAACTCACATCTTATAGTAAAACACGGATGACTCCCCAGCAGAAGATGCAGGAATGAGGTGCTCATCAATCACCGTCATGATGTCACTGCAGATATTCGAGAGCTCAAGCTCCACCTTCTGTCGATATTCCCTAATCTTCTTCACGTGATGCTCGTTCCCCTTAGCCTCCTCCTTCTGTTCAATCGAGGACAGAATCCTCCAAGACGCCCTCCTCGCCCCGATCACGTTCTTGTACCCAACCGAGAGAAGATTCCGCTCCTCGACCGTCAATTCAACATCGAGCTTCGCAACCTTCTTCATCGCATCCACCATCTCTGCATCCAAACAAAAACAATCACACAACGATCATCAGCTCCGAGCGCCGAGATTCCTAACCATCGGTCAGGATAAGCATCGTACCCTCATATCTCTCCGCCTGCTCGGCCAGCTTGGCGACGTAAACGAAGTTCTCCCGCTCCTTCTGCGACGCCATGGCGGATCCCGATCCGTTCGCTTCGCAACGCTCTCTCTTCCGACTATCTCCTGAACTCTCGTCCGCTTGCCTCCCTTCTCCGGGTTTAGGGTTCTTCTCTCGCTCAAGCCCGAAAGCGAAAGCGAAAGGGAAAGCGGTGGAAGGAAGGCGGAGCTAAAAGTCGAAGTAAATGATGGAAACCGACAGGGGTGGACGAAGCAGCATAGATGGAGCTGGCTGGCCGGCGCTTCTATTTATAGGATATGACAGCTGCGGCTGGATTTTTATGCGTGTCTGACTGTAATGGATCCTGGCCGTTCAATATTAAGACGTTAGCGGCTTGATTACAGCGAGGAAATCGCTTGGTGTATAAAAGTAAAAATTATTTCATACCGATCCGACACCTGATCTACGTGTATTTTAGTGGGTCCTAAATTTTTTTTTAATGAAAATAATCCAGACCCTAGATCACCGTGATCTACGGTCAGATACGGTCACCGCATGCGGAGATGCATGCACGCAATAATTCCTCATATAAAAGGGGCCCGCTTGACTTTTCAGAATATTATATGCGTAGAAAAACTATTGTTTTAAAAAGTCTTTGGGGCAACTTATTTGGTGCGGTGGCGTTTTGAAAACGTACATGACATATTTGTGTAAACTATATTTTGGTAGCTTTTTAATTGCGGTTTTACTTTTTCAAAAAAATAAAAATTTATAATAACTATCGCACCTAATTTATCAGCAGATTATTCAATAAGTTGCAGCTGTCCAAACAGACGTTAGATATAAACATGAAAGTTTGGAGGTTATATATGTAAATACATAATAATGTGGTAGGTCCCAACATAATTTTAGATGCTCAATTATATAAAAGAAAATAGGTTTTTTATTTCAAGAGAGAGTCTTTAAAATTTAAATTAAATAATTAGATATTTCTGCAACAATAACAATAACAAATATTTTTTTCCCACCAAATGGGGTCTATGAATTATTTTTCTCCATTGTGTCCTATAAATGATCTTTAAAATTTAAATTAAATAATTAGATATTTCTGTAACAATAACAACAACAATAAAAATAACAAACATTTTTTTCCCACTAAATGGGGTCAGTTATATGCATTATTTTTCTCCATTGTGTCCTATGAATTGCATATTTTCATTTAATTATAATAGATTAAGATCAATTTTTATAGAATATACCCAAATCTTTTTTAGTCTACCATTGTCTTCCTTAACATAAATCAAAATTAAAATGTTTGCTATCCTAACTGGATTATTAGATGGTCTAAGTATAATCCCTCATAATCGGGTGTAGAGGCCCAATGAATGCAAGCCAGCTGAATCCAAGACCAATGTCTATCAAGTCGGGCAGAATATATATATATATAT